ACTGTTAGTGTAACAGGTGGTGATAATAGATAGGTCTGCAGAAGACGATTGTACGGCATACAAAACGTAGTACAGTTTTAGTTTGGAACCATTCTGTGATCCCGAGCATCACAAAATTTTCGCTTTTGTAGGTGATCGTTGACATGAGAGAATTTAACAGCGAATTGCCAACAGCGCTTTATAAGAGAGGCATCGATCTTGTGCCCGCAACAATCGAGGTAGGCGATTACATTCTTTCTCCGAATGTGGCCGTTGAAAGGAAAGCTCTGGATGATCTCACTCAGTCTCTCCACAGCGGCCGTGTTTTCAAGCAAATCGAACAGGTTGGCCGGCCTTTTCGCTTCAGAAAGCTCTCTTTTTCATCGGAATTTCTTTTACATATCCACGAAATGAAGGAACTAGTAAACAGTGACGGTAAATTGACGGGCGAGTTATGCGTTGCATTTGAAAATACCCTTTCTGTAGCATAAGATATGGTATTTTAGATGCTGCGACATTATAAAAATGTTATATTGCTGGTTGAGGCGAATGTGAAGGATGACTACAGGAAAGTAAATGGTGGCCCATTTCAGGTAAAATGAGACAATGCTTTTTATTTTTCAAATCAGCCATCAGGCTGGAAAACCACACAGTCGGCCAGGACAGACAATCTTGTATAGCATTTCTCCTCGGAAATAAAAAAAAGGAAAAGGCGGCAAATACCACCAACAGATCCAGCAGTTGTGATTGTAGCAAATTATGAAATGTTTGATAGTTTTATTTCTGGCACAAAAGTGCGCTATTGTGACGACTGAGCAAAGTATCAGGACAATTATTTATCAGAAAAAAGTCCTTCTACTGCACTTATACTGTGAATTATTTTTTATTTCGGTCTTTTGTTTTTAAATATTGGGCAAATATTGAAGTGTACGCATTTTCGCTCGTGGCTTTTTATAAATGCTTTCGTGCTGAAGGTCGAAAAATTGACTTCCACTAATCTCGCTGTAGTTTGCTTGCTTACTTTAATGCTAGATTGGTACTGGGTACCGGTTTATTCCAAAGATTTAAAAACGCTATTATACTTCTATGTAACCGTTGCAAAAGGGAACTGTCATCATTCTTTCTAACATGGTTTGTTCTGGTGATATGCTATTATTTAAGACACTTGCAGCTGTTTCTTCCTCCGTTTGACACCGAAATTTGGCTTTTTGTAATACTGAACTACTTAAACTCACAAAAGATTTTGGCATCACTCGTTTGTTTCCGAGGCAAGTACTGTGAAGAAATTTAGGGAGAATTAAGTCGACGCTGTCAAGAGACGCGATCGCTATTTACAATTCTTGTCCGTTCGTATCCGAACATGAATGTTTTTTGGACTTTGGATCCGGTTCATTCTGCAGAAATGTTCGAAGAGTTGAAGGTAATTTCTGCATAAGTTCGTCATACCAGTTATCACAAAATTTTCAGTCCGGGGGCATCGCTTGGGCTTTTGACTAAACAGGCTCCAGTTCTTGTAATGTTACCGTTTATTATGCGTTTTTTGCAGCAATGCAATGCGAAAAACGCATATTGACGAGAGGTTGTCTTTGTGT